CCCCCCACCCCCCCCCCCCCCCCCCCCCCCCGCAACTTTCCCTTTCCAGCTCAGGTCAGGCTGGCCAGCTGGCAGTTCACTCCCCCTCCCCGCTAACTTCCTGAAGAAAGCCTCAGAGCTGGCGGGGGTGGAGGCAGGGGGGGATGCGTTGGGGGAGAGAGGTGGCTCTTCAGTTGCAGGCAGGCTCCTCGGACTCCTGAAGGCAGACTCAGTCCTGTTTCCCACCCCGCCCCCCAACCCAACAGGTGAACATGTGTTGGATTGGAGGTGGTGTTCTAACTCATAACACTTTATGTAAAGCACCATGAGTTAAAGCAGGGGCATGAACATCTGTCAGCACCCACTATGTCAGAGTCAGGACTCTACAAGAGAGTTCCTGCTCTCTGGCATATCCTGTAGATTGCCTAACATTAGGGAGTAAACTACTTCCCCACCCCAGCTTCACAACAAATAGAGAACTGCAAGGATGTAACACTATGTACCTGCAAAGGAAAGTTACAGGTGAGCAAACAACTCTTGACAGTGAACATTCCTTGATTTATTTAGTAGAAATAATAAGACAATGCTTACAAGAGAAATCCATGTACTTATGCCCCTTTTTCACACCCTTGCAAATTACTGAATTGCTCCATATTTGCATTACCCAAGGCAAAATTAGTTCTCTTAATTATTACAGGTAGTCCTCAGCATATTAAGTATCTGGGACATACTTTTCTTTTTTAAAGTACTTATTCAATGCTCTCAAGATCCACCACTGTACAGCTTTCTTCTACAACCAGCCAGTTTACCAACAGGATTGTAAGAGATTTAGACTATAAAATACATTCTGATATTTCTTGTTCTCTTAATATTTTCAATATTATGTGCTTCTTTGAAGACATTTATTTTTGTGGAGACTATTTTTTGTTTGGGGATTGCAAATAAAACTAAAAATATTATGTCTGAGATTCACAAACCTGGGTTAAGGGATTGAAATTTTTAGGAACTGGGTTCCCAAATCCCATAAATGACTTTGAGAAATCTCAACCTACATGTATTTATTGCTCTGCTCAGAATCCCTTGATTTCTCAACAAATTTCAAGATAGAATTTGAAGTAGATATCATAGTTTAGAAAAAAAAACAGATATTCGGGGTGAACTTCTCTGCTGCACCAGTTTTCTGAAATCAGGACACTTGCACCAATGTAATGGAAAAGAAATTGCATATCTTAGTGTGAAGAGAAACCTGTGGACATATGGTTCCAAAAAGCACCTTTGAAATTCCTGATCTGAGCTTGCAAACTATCTATGAGTGGAAGCCCACTGGATCCACAGGGGTATCCACACTTAGAAGACTTGAATGATATAGTTCCCTTCATGCTTGTTTTTAAAATAACAATATGATCAAAGTCTATGTTACATTTGATTTCTGCTGTGTATAGAGTTAAGAAGATGGGATCAACTTCTAATGAGTTTGGAAAATGTCTAGGTTCCATTTCTTATACAGACAAAATTATTTTTGAAATAGCACTTCAGTGGAAGCCACGAGCAGATATCCAAGAACAAAATGTAGTGGCTCAATCCAGCAGCCAGAGTGTGCTACAGCATGGCTCTCTGGCACGTAGCCAGAATGGACTGTGTATTTCCTTCCTCTTCCTGCTGCTCATGAGGTTTCTGGGATTTGCAGTTCAGACTCACAGCAGCAGGACTCTGAAGGTTGCTCATAACTTCTTCTTCTTGCTTCCAGGGGCCTCTGGCATTTGTAGTCCTCAGCCTCAGCTAACTAAGCAGGACAGAGCAGCTCTGTACTCAGGGTAAAGGAAGTTTACCCCCCCTTCCTGACTCCAGACCCCAGCAGAAGTTTGCCGGGGGGGTGGGCAGTGAAGCCAGTGAGCCAGCCCTAACTGCTCCAGCTATGAAGTAGATGAGTGGGGCCAGCCATTCTCTCTGGAGTAGACAGCACAGGCCAGCCCAGGGCTGCAAAATGCTGGGAGACTTTGATTTAACTTGAACCAGGAAGGAGTCTGAGACAGAAGTTTCATAAACTAATTTGACCTAAATCAGTTAAGTCTGATACTACATTCAGCCAGGTTTATCTTAAACCAGTTTCAGCCATTTTGAAACTGGTTTATGTGCAATGAACTTCTATTCTGTTACAGGCTTAACCCTGTTTCTGATCACTTAAACTAATGTATGTGTAACTTTTGTCCCTAGCCTTACTGGACTACCAGGAATGAGAGAACTACTTGTATGACAGCAAAGAATAGCACTGGGCCTTGGAAGTGACCCAGACAGATGGGAAATAAAGGCTTTTGTGTTCAATCTACATATCAATGAATAGTTCTTCTGCCTGCCAGCACAACTACTAAGAAGTTGTGTAAAACATCACTTGTCTTTTCTGGTCACTTTACAAATAATAATAGTTTCATTTTTCACAAATTTAGGAGCTGAGGGAAGCATTTTGCACTGTGAACAATCCTTCCTTGCCACCAAAACAGCAAAATTACAACAGTGTGCTTCTCACATCAAAACTGAGCTTATAAATTTGAATAGTATATTATTTTCACAATCTAAAAAGGTTTCCCATGCTGAAACTCTGTATGGAAGGCAGAAATCTGGCTTTTGTATTTCCAAGACCAAAATATCTTTCTTTCCACAAAACCAAAATGAAAAAGAAAAGATCCTTTGTACATTGACAAAATTAGATTTTGCTTCTCTCAGATAACCGCGCCAACAAGCCTAAAGTTAAAACATGAAGCCTGGTACAAAAAACTTGCTGGGGCATCCACAGAATGAGTATTCTCTAGAGGTTTGATTTCAAGAGAGAACGAACCATTTCAACACAGAGGACAGCAAAAGGCATCTGATGCTCCGCAAAAAAAGTACCATTTGTAGATCAGAAGCCTGATCTTAGCTACTTGCCCATGACTGGATTACACTGTGAATGGCATATATGTTGACGTGTCATAATGGTCTGTGCTTTTATCTGCCCATCTAGCCTATCTAAATCCATTTCTTTGAACTGGACATTTCTGGCTGGCTCAGCTTCTGTTGTTTATGAATATTTTAATCCTCATAAAAAATACATCACCCGTACACTGCACTTACAGCTTTGCATGGTGGCTAAAGACATACAGACCAGTTTCCAATGATTGTCCAAGAATTTCAGAAAACTATTGAAGCTAACACCATTGAAGCTGATTTGCTGGAAGTTTTCTGGTTGTAGTTGGGCATTTAGGCTAAATACAGACCATGAAAAAGCCCGAGGCTGAATCGATTCAATCTTTGCAAGTTAGTCTAAGCTGCATAGATTGAACCTACAAGTGAACAAACATTAATTTTGGTTCTGGAAGTGCAGCCATATGCCTGCAGTGACCCAAGCCAGAAGCCACAGGTGTTAAAGGGGAGGCACTAGAGCACACATGCCTGCTCAGCTGGAGCACACAGCATGAATCTGGAGGGGATCTGGGATAGAAGTTCAATAAACTGATTTAACCTAAATCAGTTAAGTCTGATAATACAGCTACTCCTCACTTAATGCCATAGTTACACATTTTTGAAAAATGTGACTTTAAGGAAAATGATGTTAAGCGAATCCAGTTACATTGCAGTAGTTACCTACTAGCAGGCAGTGGCCAAACAACGTTATAACCGAACACTGCATGACTTTAAATGAGTATGTTATCTAAGGGCGCTTGTCCATGTAATCGGCATTTACCCGCTAAAAATGTTCCTGGTTTAATTTTCCTTTCTTAGTTTATGACAACTAATTCAGTAACATGGATGTGATTTACCACATAATGGCTTATTATGCTATAACTAGTAAAATGTGCTAGGGGGCATGTCAGAAAAATTTTACCATCCCGCCCTTTCAGTACTACTTTACTGCCAGGTGGTGTTTTAGGACAAGATTTGATATTTTGGTTGGTTTATTTTCTTGGGTCGTGCTGGGTTGCTTTTTGGGGCAGACTTGTTGGTGGCTTTGCTTGAGAGCCATGCGTTTTTGGGGGAGGAGAGTTGAGTTAAATAAGCAGTGCTGCCCGCCTCCGTTGCAAAGCCTCCCACTTTTTTCTGGGTGCTTGCTGCTTGTTGCACGGGGTGCTGCTGGCTGGGGTGGGAAATTTCTTCATGCAAAGGTCTGTGAGAGTAAGTCTGCCTGCCTCCCCCTCTCAAGTCTGGATTGGCATTGGGGGTCTGTACTGCAGGCCTCCCAAAGGCTCCTCTGACCAAGCGTGGTCCT